TATACCGGCCATAGTTTTAGCAATGAAAAAATTAATATCATAAAAGTAAACATAATGATAATATTATACATAACATAATAATAATAATAATAATTGGGAGATTTCATTGATGACGATGGCAAACAAAATCTAATCGTACAATATTTCAACGGTGGTCATATAAAATAACTTGGATTTCCAAGCTAGAAAAGTTTTTATTCACAAAACGTTTTCGTAAAAAAGTTTTCAAGGATTAAAAGTAAATAAGATCGACTGGAGTTTCTAAAGGAGCGTACCATCCTGTTTGGAGGATAAGTGGTCAACTTCTTCATGAAAATCTTTAAACAGTTCAAACATAGATTTGTAACTTAAAAAAATTAACATGGAGAAGATGTTGGGTGGTCTGTTAATTGTTGAGTCATTTTTAAACAGGTTGATTGTCTTAATGATTCGGCTCCACCTGATCTCGATGTTTACTTTAGACATACAAACATTTCAATGTTTAAGTATTTTAAGATTCAATACGTGTATGAGAATTCATGTATTGTTATATATTTATCTTTGAACTTGTTGCCATAAATAGTCCGCGGGTATACAACTGTAGTAAATCAATAATCTGAAACCTTGAACTTGAAAATACACGATTCACGTTATCTACATCAATGGGGAGATATCTTTTATTGTCCGCTGCTACATTTGTCAATCTTTTATTTTCAATCGAGCCTGTTTGTGTATTTCGGCCTCGAGAAGGTGCCATCTCATGTCGCATTGTTCGATCGTTCGCGGGGAGGGAGCAATTGCCGATAGCCGTCTTGGACTCCGAGGTAATGCAAGAAAAAAAGCAAAAACATTTTTCCCGCAAGGCCACGGATTATCGAACAGGATGTCTCAGGTTTTTTCTCTCACAGGGCCTGATTTGTAAACGAGCCGGCAGCCCTTTGTCCGGTTAAAAAAGGGCCCAATTTTTCCCTAGCAAGCTAATGGAGATCGACCCCGGCTTGAGTTTAGACCTTTCAGATATCCGCGGTTGAGCTTTTCATGCTCGGCTTTGTGGCCAAGGTCGACAACCTCGATTCGGAGGCGTAAAAGTAGTTTACGGCCATGCTAATCTAGTATAACATTAATAAATGTACAAAATATAGAGTGACTCTTGGGGAAAAAATACGCCTCGTTTCGATCCATATCTCATCGTTAATCCTAAGGAAACGTACTCCTAACTATCGTAATCTTGAAGACATCTGCTACGGATGGCGTAATAACTCGATGTCAGTGATATTCCATAGTAAAAACTCTCCATATCTGGTCCGCCCAATCTCGCTTTTGGTCTAGAGCCAGACCTGGTTTTAATTTATTTAAAATGTATACGGGTGAGGCGTTAGGGATTCCGCATGATAAATAGGCAGAGTTGGGATAAACTTGGGACTTATTCGCTAAAAGCTAAACATAACTAATTGTCATAGTTTCTCTGGGGCTCTGCAGAGTGACGAGCTTGTAGTTTGTTCGTTCCAGGTTATTTTGTTCTGTATAGCCTCGCTGTTTTGGCCTATCGGGCGCATTTTTTAAAGCAGGGCAATACCACTGAAGATGGCAGCGTTTAATAGTTCAAACAGTGACAACTAACAGACAAGGATGATCCAAACTAGGGGTTTCTCACTCAAGCTGAGCTGACACAAAAGCTGAATTACTTTAAGCCAGTAAAATAATATTTTTCTTATATTGAGGTTCATATTAAACTAACCCTACAGGCAAAAGCTGTTTGTACTTTGGTCATACTTTATGCAACATTCGCAAGTAATTTTATGTATAACTAGTTATTCAGATATCGTGAGATGCGGTCGGGTGTGATGTAGGTTTCAGAAAAACATTTTCTTTATCGTGCCAACGTTTCGATCTTTCATTGAGATCATATTCAGGACTCAAAGTGTTTGTCTTCTGTGTAATTGTGCCATCCTTGCGTGTCGTGTTGAGAGTGTATGTATAACACGCCAGGAAAGTTACACGCGCCAGGATGACTGGAAACGACCAATTTTTAGTTTCAACTCACAAAACTACTATGAGCCACACCTTTAACGAATGCAAAAGTAAAATTTAATGTCATTTGTTTGCCTCCTGAAGTGCAAAGTGCAATAAAAACATGTACAAACGTCAAAAGCCCAAAAACACTGAAATGCGACAGACCAAAACAGAGGATTCATCAAAAATGACCAAACTACAAGTTCATTAACGTACAGACCCCTGTGCAGTGCATGACGAACTACTAATAGCTACATTATTAATGTGTGTATGGCAACCAACCACTTTACATGCAAATTGCCAAAACGAGCCTGGTTAACTGAAACAGAAATAAGCAGACAAAAATTATCGGAAAAAAATAAATTTAAACCTAACAGTGCATTAAAAAATATGAATTAAGATTCTCCCCACCATCTTTAGACAATTCTAATCAGAGTAAATTGCGGGAAATTGATTAACGATAAACTTGTCAACTTCACATCGCCTGGGTGCGTTCTTGGATATCGTCCACCAAGAAAGATCTGGCACCAAGTCCTATTTTATTTACTTAAATGCATCCTACCCACTTCATATTTCCTTTTACTAGAATTCTATTTAACGGACTGCTGCTTCAGAGTGAGGAGCGGCAGTAATACTCAGATATCGCAGAAAATGCAAGTCGGTGTCCTTTGAGGGAGGATTATTGGTCCATTCCCATTTCCCATTTATACTGCTGACTTTTCGGAACATACCATACCATTAATGCCACCTAAGTTGATTATACTGCATTTTTTAAACCTGAATAATTCCAAGCAACATTCAACATCCAAGAGCACCATGATAAAAGCGGAACATCCTCTATAAACCCTTCGCAAGCTTACCTTATCTTGGAATTGTGTTTAAATGACATTAAGAGTGAGATGTGGCGAGAGTACTCAGCTATTAGAGTCTAAGTAGCAGATGTTCCACAAGGAAACACTGTTGGTCCTATCCTTTATAAAATTTACATCGCGGATTTCCTATACAACTTAAGATCATCTTCATCACTTATTCGATCGATACCAAAATTTTGTCTTTTTCTAAACAAACCTATAATATCCAAGAGCATGAGAAAAAATGTATCCAGTGTACATTTATAAAAGTCTTACCCTCAACTGGACATTAACATCAAGGAATTCAAATTAAGTACTTGGGACGGCAGAAGGACGAGGAATCCAAACAACTTCACCGAAGACTTGGACAACTACGAAGGCTTTTATGACCGAAATTTGTTTTGACCGTCAAAACTGAAATAAATCTACAAAAGGTTTTCAGTGACCCCTTGGTGAACAATAGAACCCAGGGTCCTACAAGGGAGCATTTTCGATCCCTTCATGTTTTTCATTTACACTGCTGATTCTCCTTGTACATCCCATCATTACCACCCTTTCAAGTTCTGAAAAAAATTGATTGACAAAACATCATTCGTCATATCGCATGCCAGCGTTGACTGCTTTGCATGTACAGGCTACACATAAATTAATTAGAAAAAAGAATATAGCACTAATTGAAATAGTCGAAATATTTAACAGCTGCCTCCGCTTAAACTAATTCTTTAAAGGATGAAAAAAGGGAAATAATCAAAATTGAAAAGACGAAAAAAAAGACAAGAAAAATGTATAAAACTATCCACCAATCAGTTTTCTTCCATAGTAGATAAACTGTTCGAAAATGCTTAAAACTGGTGAACTTTACTAAAGAGTTCACACCCAGACACTCAACGTAACCCTAAGGCGTTAGATTTAACGAACAATAAGCCAAAGGTTCTGAAACTTAAGAGACCTTATTTGACTCCTGGCAATCGTTGGGCACCTGTCACCTGTATTTGACATTCAAGTAGGAAGAAAGCAGAAATTAACGACTTACCAAGATCCCTAACCATCCCTAACCATCCTGCCTGATGGGACGATCCTGTTACGACCGTATCAAAAATTACGAACCTGAACAAAAACCAGCAGACTTGGTGTCTCCACGAGGTTCTTTCCTTGCTTTTCAATCTACATGAATGACATAACACCTACTGCTTCTGTAAACACATAAGTGGGCACACTCGCTGGAAATCTTAGCTAAAGAAAGTCGTGCTAACAAGGACAAAATAAAGTCCAGAATGAGGTTGACCTCCTAGTAAAGTATTTTGAAAATGGAACTTTTTTACGCCGATTTCCAAACTTTAGTGATAACCAATACTTATGGGTAAAAATGACCTGGAACTCCCAAAAAATATAGCGGCAGTTAGATGTAGAGATATTTCTCGATCCTTGGCTTACCTGGATTGATCAAATAAGTTAAAAACTAAAAAAAAGGGCATATCAACTTAATGATGTTTGTCCATCGCTTACGGACAAAACTTCTTCCTTGAGACCTAAAATAAACACTACCCGTAGAAAAAAAGTTTGAGATTTTTGTCTAAGTCTAGGGATCTGATGTATGAGTAGTTCTTCGTTTCGTATGGTCCGCATATCTTCGCTGGTTTATAACTTGCTGAAACACGTTTATCGCCCCAAAGCACTAGGTTAATTATGTTTTATATAGTTTTATATTGTAATTAGGTGAAAAGAAAGATGGTATCATGTGTTAAGTTTTTACAACAAATGTCTAATTATTACCCAACGTTCTTTCTCTAAAATAAAAATAGAATTGACATTTTTGTTGGATGTGTGTTACGGGAGATTGTTGAAAAGGTAGTATTCTACATCTAATGAAGTCGAGTGAAGTGGTATACTTAGAGGGAAAATATTTCCCAATTTCTGCAAAGAGGAGTTGATGAACGTTAATAGGTCGACGTCAATCTTCGGACAATTAGTGTTTCCCAATCCTTCAGCTTTTAAGCAGGTTCTTCGACTGGCTTTCGAGGTTTAACACGCCGGGGCGATTATTAAAGGTAAAAGGGCCCAAAGGAAGAATGATGGGGGCTCAATTATCCGGGGGTTGCCTTCGGGGGCGAACCGGGGTTCGGCGTAAGGTCGAGGACTGCCCGCTGCCAAGGCCGGAGGGCGTCCGGACGGGTTTCCTATTTTAGGTGTCACCGACCGGCCCGTGTGCCGGTGGGATGCCTCCCCGTGGCTTTCTCATGTATAAAAAGGGCGGATTCATCTCTTTCTAGCATAGTCCAAAGTTACAAACCGATCGGAAGACATCTGAAATGGCCGCACTCAAATTTGTTGTAAGTAGAAAAAGTTGACGACTCACAGCATTGTTTAAACTTTTCCTCAGCAGAAAATAACATTTTTGTAAACCATAACAAACAATATTTAATATACTTAGCGACTACACACAACTTGTTCTACTCAAAAATCATAAAAAGTAATCATTTTTCATTTTATAAATTTTATTACACTTTCATGCAATTGATCCCTTTTAAATAATACGCGTCTACCTATCTGTTCTATTTACTTCTGTCTCGATCACCTCCCTCTCACCACCTCTCTCTTCTCTCTCTCACAGGCACCTTGATATTGATTTATCTTTCAATAATTTTCAAGATTATGCTTTCCCCTTCGCTTTATTTCATTTGAAAGCTCATCTATTTATATGTCCCGCCAAGGGAGCATAAACGATTTTGTCAGTGGGAGGGTGTTTGAGCCGACGGGTTGACTTTAGTTTACGAAATTATTTGCACAAGACGTCAGCATGTTTGTTCGAGTTTGCAAATATATGGAAAAGCCAAACATGTCTGACAAAGCCACCGAACCATAAACCGTGTACAGCTTAACTGAATTGAGTTTTTAACGTCGTTTCTTCTTCGCTATTGTGAAACGTTTCTGTTTGTTTTTTTGTACTTACTTTATTACTAAATACAGTTAACTTGAAATTTCATAGTTTACAATGTTCACGTTCACCACCATTGTGACGCTATGCCTTATTTTTCTTGGTTTACTAAAACTTTAATCGAATATCCATGGGATGGATTTTTATTGCACTTTATAAATAAATACAATAAAATCGTAGTTTGGTTGTTTAGGTCATTATATGAACTGGGTAAGGCACTACTTTTGTGAAGCTTTTCCTCATTCTCTTTCTTTTCTTAGGTGATAACAACACGTTTAAAAATTGTATATTCTTGTATTGCTTCCTTCTTTTATAGTTGAAATAAATATAATAAACTGGATTTTGCTTGCTTGCTGAATCTATCTATGTCATTACTATCCACCCTAACCCACTTTTGTCTTTCTTTTTTACTGTTCTAAATGTCTTTTTACTGTCTTAGTTTATTTTCAGTTAATATAGGGCAGAATGTAACGCATTTGGGTTTTATAGGTTCTCGCCGCCCTCGTGGCTTGCGCTTTCGCCGCTGAAGAAGAGCGCGTCAAGAAGGACGTCCTCCTCGGAACCGTACCCTACGCCTACACCGCCTACCCCCACGCTTACACTTACGGTTACGACGACGGAAAATATTTCCCCGGAAAGTACGAGAAGGCGTACGTAGCTCCCGCGTACCCGTACCACTTACCAGCAGTCAGTACTTACTCAGCCCTTCCAGCTGTACCAGCGGTCCAGCCTTACAACTACGCTTACGGAGCATACCCATACAACCAAGGCGCTTATCCCTACTACAGGCAATACGTCTACTAATTCGAATCGTTCGGATGATCTTCTCGGCATACGGAACAATCTCACAGTATTTCCCAACAAATCTACTCCAGCAGATGTTTAGTTCAATAAATTCTACATTAATTTAAAACATGTTTTTTTTATATTTATTTTTCGTATTAATCCTAATGAAATTGAAACATCCAATCGTTACAGTTCAATTAAAACTCAATATTGAAAGCATCGTACCTTCTACAAAGACCTAAATGTCTATCAGTCTATCAGCAATTTTTAACATCGTATCTTTAGTAATTATTAATAATATTAACAATAGAAAATAGCACGGAACGTTTTTATTAAAAATTAGAAATGTTAAATATTTATGTATCATTTATTAAGTATCATTAAGTTTGCCATCTTCAGTTATTGTCAGGGATATAAACAGGGCACCGATGCAAATGAACTAGAAAAGATGGCAAAAAGTCGAAACGCGTCTGACATACCAAAATGGTGACGGTGAGTTTTAGAAATACCAGTCAAGTGAGAACTAATAACATTAAAAAATACCACCTAAGCTTTCAGATTTTTTTCTGTAATTCTTAACTGTTTAATTTATAATAATTTTAACAATACAAAATAACATCCTGCGTTTTGTTAAGAAAAAGGGTAATAAATAAAATCAGAAATGCTAAAAACTGGCATAGTATCAATACGTTAATATTACGCAGTTTGCCATCTTCAGTAGTTCTCAGGGATATAACTAGGTTCAGGCGCGAAAGCCCGCAAAGAAAATTGCTCCTGACCGTCCAAAATGACTTTCCAATCCAATAGAAATCATAAAACCCATTCCCAAACCTAAAAACTCAGTATATTTCTACGTCATATATCCTTATCAGTTTGCTGCCATTACTAGGCAAAATGCTTGAAAACATCTCTTGAATCATCCATACCCCAACTTTGAAAAAGCTCTTTTCTTAGGAGTGAGACCAGCTTCGATCGAGTGCTTGCTATTGAAACTCAACGGCATCCTATCATACACTTAGCTCACCTTAAAATCCTATCTAATCTGTATTTTCAAGTAAATACAGGAACATGTTAGTTACTCTTCGTCTATATCGAATTAGTGTTCAGCGAGGCAAAAAATTTTCTATTCAAAGTAGTCATCCCCATCAAACCCGATGCAGTAGATGCAGTACTACTCACAAAAGCAGATGATATGTGCTTTCAGCAAACCAGCCTGCAGTGGGTATTAGAAATTTTTTTTTTCATTTTCACTAGCCCAACAATTACATTTGTTTTACTTAGTGCTTCTGAGATTGAAGGGATTTGAGATTGAAGAGATTTATAATGGCAAGTGATAGTGATATTGCTCCACAGGAGCCCATTTGCGTTAGCAGCTTTTGTAACAGCACACATGTACTACTATTTTCATTATAAATTTAAATATCACATATCACAGACATTTTCACATATCACCCCAAGATGTCTTGCAACGTTGTTGGTCTTAGACGGGAGGCCACCCTGCTTCCTAGTGAGGCCACCCTGAAGTGCTATCGGAGTGGTACGCTCGATTGGGCATGCTCTACTTCATGAGAAATCGAAAATCCAAATGAAAGCCAGAAGTGGGACTCCTGCTCTATGAATGCTCTCCATCTGGGAAAGCTTTGTGTGAAACGTCCTCAACCTCTCTGCTCTCCAGTTGAAACTCGCAGTGAAGCTGGGCCTTCCGGACAAACCACTCTGCATTCGTAGCGATCCGTAGTACTTTGTTTTGCAGGATTTGGTTCTTTTTTGACGTGGAAGCCGCTCCCCAGACTTCGCAACCGTGGAACAGGAGTCCCACTTCTGGCTTTAGTTTGGACTTTCGGTTTCTCATGCAGTAGAGCATGCCCAATCGAGCGTACCACTCCGATAGCTTCTTGCTGATGTGAGAATTCCATGTGAGTTTTCCAAGCTCGATGGTGCTGTCAGGCCAGTTCCATGGAATGCTCGTTCCTTCTAAGGAAAGTACGGGGGGGGGTGTTGGGTCTTCTTAGCGTGAAAGCTTTTGCCTCACATTTGGAGGGATTGATGATCAGCTTCCACGCTGTGCAGAAAGAAGCTATTGTTTCTAACGCTGGTTAAACACAGCCTCATCAATATATTCATTTGTTGCATACACTACTGAGTCATCTGCGAATGTTACAACAGTGACATTTTCTGGGGTGGGGAAATCGCGCATGAAGATATTGAAGAGTATCAGCGATAGAACAGACCCTTCATCCTCTTTCAATGTATTACAAATCTGTTCCTCTCCCAGCATCCAATGCTATCCTCTTTTTGGGACTTAACATAAACAAAAGACTTACTTGAAACCCCAAACTCGACTTAAAATCATAGAACAGACGTTTTACCTGTACTTTAATTCCAGAATCAAACTGGACGTAGGAAGTTGAACTTTGGGGTTCAACAAAGCATAACAACCTCTAAAGAGTTCTGTCTTTTCAGTCGAAAATCACTCGAATTATCGCCCAAGCCCTATTTCATATCCATACTACCCACATAGACTTCTAAATACAATTTGTCCTTGAAACCACAATAAATCAATTTAGATGTTATCATAAACCCTGGACTATTCCAACTCTAGTTCCATCCGAACCTTTACCGACAATTCTTTACGACGCTTACAAAACCTGTGTCCTCTCGACTATCTCCCTAGTGAAAAACGTTGCAATAGGATCGTAATTAATGGATTACTTTTTAACTCTTATAATCTTTTAATACTTACAGTTATCAAAATTTTGACCTTATTGCCACCAACATACCTGAAAAATGAAACAATGCAGTTAGTGAACAGTTTTTATCGAAAAATAATAGTTTACTAATACCATTAGAAAGATTGTAAAAATATATATCTTAAGAAAAAATATAATAAACCCGAATTTTTATTACTTTATTATTATGTTGTGTATAATACGCTAGAAGGCTAGGCTCTTTCGTTGTTAGTTTGATAAAAAATTTCTCTCTTTTCAATTACAAAATAAATAAAAACAGATAATCGATAGTTTAGTGTTAATCATATTTACATAAAGAATAATTGAAAATGAGCAATTCACACGAAATGTTTATAAATTGGATCACTTCTACCTCCTCGTACATGTGATGAGATGTTCAGCAAGATATTGAAGTGTGGGGGGTCAAACCAATCGTTTCAACCACTCACCAGTCACTCCAGTCCTAAATCCTTCGAACTATTACCCAAAATCCAATTTGTTCTCGAACAGCAAGAAGCCGTTTAAGACCTTTGACCCTTATCCCTACTAAGTGCAAAAATTTTCATCTCCAACACATAGGACAATCGTCTAAAACGGCTAAAGCACCAATGGCTCAAGATGTACGCTCTAGTAAGAGCTGTGAATAGGAGTGTAATTAACGGAGTATATTTCATTTTTAACAATTTTTTATTATAAAAGAGCACGAATCCCCCACCTCGGGGTTTGGTAGTCCAAGGTCAGAGCTTTGTCTTCATGGGATGTCAACAGCAATTTGTGAATGTAAACACCTCATACTCTCACTTAAATATGTTTTACTAGCTTTTACCCGCAACTTCGTCCACGCGGGGCTTTGTTTTAACGTACCTTTCTAACGCGATGCAGTGCCAGGATGGCTCTCTAATATAACGTCTCGTTTCTGAAATTTTTCTGTTCTTCAGCACACTTCGGTCTATACATGGTAAAAAATTGTCCATTTGGAAATTTCAGTCCTTTAGATCCAGGGTGACTGGCGATAAGTGTCGAAAATTTCAGGAGGTGCTTCTACTTACCATATGCAACAACAAACTTCCTATGAACCCTTGTCCAAATCTCAATGGTAAAGAAGTAATTTCAAGTTTTTCATTTTTTTCGACTTAGGAAATTAAAATTACTAAATTGCTTATAAATTTTAGAAGTACTGACTGTCGAGAAATCTAGTTTGTGCCACCTGAAAGATTGATAAATTTGCTCTAAGAAAAAAATTTCATTGTAGAATTGATGAAAACATTCTGCACGACAAATTCAGACAAAACAAAAATGTTGAAATTCGGAACTTCTTTAAAAATTCATTAGATTTCGTGGTCCGATTGACCGAATAACTTATTTATTAATTAATCTTTATGTGAAGTATCGGTTGAAATAAAAAATTCCGAATGGATCGAAGTCACGATAGCTCATGTGGTAGAGCAGCCGCGTATTTTAGCCGAAGGTCGTGGGTTCGAATCCCGCTCGTGACACTGACTTTTGTATCTCAACTAATACCTTGCATAAAGATTAATTAATTGAAAAACGTTATTCGGTCAATCGGACCACGAACTCTAATGAATATAATAAGTAAAATGAAGTATATCTTCACGAAAGCTCTCCGTGGCCATCTCATTTGTCGCTGAGAATCGAATAGATTACACGACATTTGAAAAACGAGGGAAAATTCGTAAGGTGGAGTTAAGATGGGAAGTTAGTGTCCGAGTGGATCGAAATCACGATGGCTCAAGGGGTTTAGCCGAAGGTCGTGAGTTCGAATCCCGCTCGTGACACTGACTTTTTATTGCAACCAATACCTTACATAAAGATTAATTTTTTGAAAACGCTGCATTGGTAACTGTTAATAACTTTAAACTCCTGAAGCTTAGAAAATTCCCCGAAAAGTTCTTCATTCAATTATCTTCCAGCGGTATACCCATCTTTTTTGATTGCGCTTCTGGAAGGCCCAAAAATTTTGCATTTTGTTGAAAAAAACTAGCGTCGATGAAGGGTGGGCACGCTCAATTTTTCCAGGAAATCCGTCAGGCTCTTGATTTTCGTGTCAATTCTTTAATGTTCAATTCAATCAGTTTGCTTTATGTTATCAGCTGACAACGTCCTCAGGTTGGTGATTTAAATCATTTCTTTGTTTCCTAATGCACATCGTGCTGATATGTATTTCATTTACGGTTACTGCAACGCGTAATGCTATTACTGCAAGGAGAGAATACCAAGCTCGTTTTCTACATCGAGACGTTCCAGCAGATCGCATCTTCCGACCACTTCATGAGAAGCTGAGGGAAACTGGTTCTTTTACTCGAAGAACGATCTTATCAATTCACTGATTGTCTTTCCTCATTCTTCGAGTGAAAGAACCAGTATACTATATATAAAAGA